TTTTATGAATAGACTGTGAATTAATTTACATGATACGGAACAGTGACCAGTGTCACAATCTATACATGCCTTCAAAGTAAGACTACAAGTTTAGATTGAGAATTAATTATCTCAAATGGCAGGATAATGAGTGGTGAGCTATGTAAGGAAGAAATATGTAACTTCAGAGATGGAAGAAAAAAGAAAAAACTTCTAGCAATTATGGCTGGAATTGAAAGTCAATGGGCCTTGAGTACCCAATTCTCTTGCTAGCCTTTAAAAATCCCAGCCTAGGATTGCAAATAGATGTTTTGAAATCTAATCCAAACCATTACCACTCTGAAAACTTTCAAAATATTAGTAATGGTTAAGAAGAATTACATGCCTAAGGTCCAACTTTTGGTTCCAGTACATCTCTGAGCTGCCAGGCTATATGGGGGAGCTCCTTCTTGTCAAACAAAATGATTGCTACTGCAGCCTACGAGCTGAAAAACATTGTCATACCTCCCACTCTGGAGGTGGAGGATGGAGAATGATCACAGAGTCTGAATAACAGAAGATCATTTCACCGTGCCCCAATCCCTATTGCACATTGATATAGTAGGTTCCCTGGAATGCTTCAGCTGCAGCATCAACAACCGATGGTCATCTCTGCTTTAATTCCAGGGTCCTTCTTACATTAGAGATACCATATTTTGATGTAGATTTTCATAGCAGTTATAGATTTGACATCATTTTGGATAATGCTGTTTCCAGTAATGATTTACACAGCTAGTCTGGCTGCTTTTTGAGAGACCTCAGCTGAACTGCCTCACCTGGTGGCCAATCTTTCAGGCTTATGCCTTCACCCAGCTTTGTTTTCAGGTAACCTATTCCCTTCACCTTCCTATGCTAGATGGGTTTTTTTAGATCTATGCTACGTTAGCCACCCGACCCCATTAAGAAGAAAAGAGCTACTAACAAAAGCAACCCACCAAAAAAGTCAAAACAAAATTATTAGAATGTTTCAGGTTTTCCTCATGGTGGAGAAAAGGAATTACTGAAGCATCTCATTAGGAATGAGTCAGGCTATGAACTAGCATTAGTCTAAGATCAACTCTAATGATCACCTGGCATGTCCCAAAAACACTTCTGGCTTCTTCAGGATCTAAAGGAAGACAAAAATACTAATGAGTTAATCCTGCACAGTATCTAATTTCATATTATCATGGTGTTGAGGGCCCGTAGTGAGATAGCAGGACCATACCATACCATGGGCTGCACGCAGATCAAAAAGTCTATGCCACCCAGAACTTGCACTGCAAGTGCAAGACAAAATGATGGGCATAGGAAAATAATACAGCATTGGCCAGAAAGAATAGCTAGAATCTCCCATAGTAAAATAGAAGACCAGTAGAAATGAGAAAATAGGTCTGTGCATTCAATCCGTAATACATAACTAAAAGTCAATCACCTCCATGACTCCAGTGGATATTTAATTCTCTGTTACCAATATGGGTCTGTAAACATAGTTCCACATCTGCAATCTCTATGAATAAAAGAAATCTTAACATAGCTCTCAAGTTATTAATTCAAAATGAAATAGTGTAGTTTGAAAATACACTAACTGTTCCCTTGAAAACAAGGCTGTGTGTGTGGAAAATGTTCAATATGTTGTACAGACTCAATAGTTTACAATTTGCAGAATTAGCTATGCCTACTCTTTTTCACATAATTTAACTCTTCTGGGGCTAACATGACGGCAGCAGAGATAAAAAAAATTATAATTAATATTTATATAAAATTAGTTGCACTTGTCATAAGCTTCATGATTTTCATAATATGAATACATATTTTCATAGCTGTAATAATTCATTCAAAATGTGATATTGATGTTAATGACAGCATCCGGTTACAAAGCCTCTATGGCACAGATTAAATACAGCATTTATCTTGTCACTATAGTAAATTTTAAAACAT